GAGAGAGAGAGAGGAAGGGGAATCGATAATCGCGGCAACCCGTTACGACCGCAACTCACTCCGGGCATTATTTTGCCATCGACGTCCCTCATGATGGCGTCCCATGATTCCGGCTTGAGGGGTGCCTCTTTCGGCAGCAGGGGTCTCAGATAACCGGGATCGACGTTCGCCGTTACTCTCTTGCCCTCCAGCGTGCGGATGTAATCGCATATGTACTCGATCATCTCCTTGCCACGCACGCGAAACTCATCGATGTTCATGATGCCAGAGTACCCCGGGCTGGAATGCAGCGATTTTCGCGAAGAAGCGTCAGAGCGTGCAAACACCTGCCTGATTAGGCACGAACGCGACTACACGTCGTACGCGTTCGTGACTTTCTTTATTTTTTAAAATGTCTCTATCAGCGCGCCGATGCGCTTCTCGCTGTTATCCTCCTATATTTGCTTTAGAAAAGGATCAATTCTTCCGCGCTTCTGCAAGGATTCTTCGCGGCTATTAATTCTTTCGAGCAAAAGGAAATGTGGTATCGATGAACGCATCTAATAATAATCCGCAAAAGTATTATGAAAGTAACGTCGTGGGATGTGTATTTAATTAGTTACACACGAGATGTCACATGATAAATATTACGAAAATGCGAGTTTGGTCAAATAAATTTACATAAATCTTGTTAAATTTACATTTGTGATAAATTTACATTTTTGTTTTACAAAAATTTAAATTTCACGTTGTTAACGTTGGTAAGTTGTATTTTTTGGTTCTAGAATATAAAAAAATATAATAATCGTAATTTTTAATTAATCATATCATCTCTTATTCTTCTTTTTTTATAAATGAAATTATTTTTTATGAGAAGATAAACATATATATACATATATACATATAAATTTTGAGATGCAGTTTTTAGAAAATCTGAAGCAAATGGTGAACAAAATTATCGAAGAATTTGGACATTTGAATTACTGATACGCTGACATTTCCGTTCTATTGTTACTTAAAAAATTGCTATCGGAAAATCGATCTTTTATGTCATATTTTCTTACGTATGCAGATGAAAATGCAATTTAAAATGTAATTTTGATAGAGGCGCAATTTTTAATAAGAATGAATGGCAAATAATGTTGAGGAGTTTCAACGACTTAGCTCATCGGTTCCACTCACGTTTTGTTTCCGCTACCGTTCGAAAAGCCGCTCCACTTTGGCGGAAAATCGGCCTCCTCGATCGCGCGAACTTTTCCTCGCGTATTCTCGTAACTCGAGCGCCGCGCGATTTTCCCTCGCACGTATCGAACATTTGCCGCGAGCCACGTCAGACGAGAGACTAGTAGCACCTGCCGAAGCGCCGGTCAGTTTTATGCGCACCTCGGCTCCGTACGCCCCTGCTATCACGCAGATAAAATTAAGGTGGCGAGAGAAAACTGGGGAGAAAGCGTAATGAAATTTATTTTCCTAACAAATAAAGATCGATTATGAGAGAGGAAAAATAAGGGGTTTCCCAACCGAAGCTGTCTTGTAACGCTTTCTAGATCATTACGACGATTCGTTAATCTGATATCGACAACTGGATCCAGACGAATTGATACTATCTATTAAAATCATAAAACTTCAAGTACAGATCCTGAAAATGATAAAGAAACGATTAAAATATTTCAAAATGATGAATCTCTTTTAATTGGACAGAAATAAAAATCAAATAAATTTGAAGATAATCGACTTTTCTATACGTCGAAATGATTCTCTAAATGTATGAGTTACGTCGAAAATAACTAATATTAAAATACACTTTTAAAACCTGCTACTAAATCTTGTCAGTATCTTGTCAATATCTTGTCAGATTATTTAATTTTTTTTTATATATGTATGTTGCGCATTATTACGCAAACTATTTTGCTGCATAAAAAAATTCTTCTAAATAATTTTGAAATTGCATGATAAAAATTGGTAATTATATTTCTCATTTATCTTTTTATTATTAGTGATAATGTTTACTACAGGATAAACGAACGTTAATTTTTTTTGCACATTCAACATATCAACAACAAGATGACATTTTTATATTAATTGAGAGTATCGAAATTCAAATGATAATATTTATAGCGTTTCCGCTATATCTTACAATCAATTATTTTCCCTGATATTTCTCTAATAATATTTCTTATTTCTCTCTCGACATTTCGCAGATACAATGCGAAAATTCTTCGGAAGCTGGTATTGCAAACCAGCATCAATGGCAGTATAGCGGGATCGCTGTTTGAATAAACGTCCCATACAGTACGCCGTGTTCTGCGCACGGGGATAAATTCTCCCCCGCCGTGCCTCTGCCCCCATCGTCTCTCCAACGTTTTATAAATAGACATTTACTCTTCACCTACATTTACAACACACCCCGTGGAAGCGGTGACAGGTCACCGCTCAATCTTCGTAACACACGCACACACACACATACATATAAGCCAATAGCTACTCGTTTTCTCATCGCCACCTTCACGCATGATCTACTCGCATCCACCGTTTTTCGAATTGGATCCCCCTATAATCCCGGTAGAGCTTCGGTGTTCATGAACGCGTGAGAAGTAATTAAAGTTTGCTTTGCTGCGCGACCATTCCTTTTGCAAGTATCGTATAATAGCGATTTCAACGAAATTAAGCGAATATCACTGATTATACATAGGATGTCCGACCTATCTATCAAATCTCACGTTCCGCATACAATTGATATAAAGAAAGAGAAAATTTAAAAAATTATTGGACGTGTATACGAGCGAAGAAAATAGTTGAATTATTTATCGCGTAGGAGATTGCATGTTGCATAACGTCAACTTTTTCAATTGCACAGACATGTCTACTTATATCTTGCAGTTATATAGCGTAGTTTGCTTATAACCTACCTGCTTGTCATTTAAATATTGATGTAGTCAATTATCTTAACGTCATCATTATCTTTATTTTTATGATGTCATCAAATAATGCTTTTTAAACTTTTTTGACTTTGAAATGATTTCCAATAATTTTATACAAAAATAATGGATAACACAATATAATATGATATATTTTTGATCATATGATATTTTATCATATTTTGTCCAAATCTTGAACTTAAAAAGAAATATCTAATTTTTGATCCTTTGTTATTGTCTTTTTTTCGAGGAAAAGCAGTCATAAATATTCAAGAATTCTCAAGAATTTCTACGCTCTTTAAATATCTTTTTAAAGTTTTCGAGATTCGGGGATGTTTAAGAAAATGTGACGCACAGTTGAGACTGAACTATTTACTTAATTTCTTATCGAGTAAAACATACAGGGCGACATCTCATTGGTGAGCAACTGAGCGCAGAACTTTCTCTCCGTTCAAGCCCATTTTAGACGATCTGTAATTCGCGACAAAATTTGGAAAACAAAATTCTATATTATATATTTATTTGATACATTTAATAATGTGTATGTGTGTGTATGTGTATGAAGAAGAACATCTATAGAAAATCGAAGTTATAATTGGTAAAATTGGAGCATATTAATTTTTATAGACAGAAAACGCGCATCAGATATATTTAAGTAAACTGATAGTTTTAATAATTGCAATTAACGATTTAAAGTTTTAATTGCATGCTTTACGATAGCAATATTTTGACGAAGTCAGATAATATTCTAATATAGAGAAAGTAATTTTGCAAGATTAATATATCTATATAATTCTAATTGAAGAATTTAATGTGAGACCTTTCTCTCATTTATAACTATATTTACAATATAACACATAAAATTATAGACAGAAAGAATTATTTCTCTCCGTCCCAAATTATACAGTGTCTAAGATAGGCTTTAATATCGAGATTGTCGGCAGTATCGGTTCCCGATGTGAAGTTGTAACTAGTTTCCTCTTCGTCTGCCTTTTTGGAGCACGCATTGGAGTTTCAGAGTATCCGTCACGAGTGTTGCGCTTGGAGAACTCTGCAGAAAGATTGCACGAAGAAAGAAAAGATCGATATAACGCGATTACGCGCGGCCGTTGGGCGATCTGCCTCGCGAGGGTGAAGCAGACGGGGACGGATCTGGGCTGCATCCGTTACTGCTACCGCGGCGACTTCCAGTACCACCGGTCTTCAGGCGCACCATAGTATCCAGGTGGCGAAATCTGTGTGTGAAAGTAACAAAATATTATAATTATAATAGAAATATAGAAAGAGAAAGAGAATACAATATTTGACCATATATTTGCAATGACAATTATTATTGTTTTCTGCAACACAGTTATATTTTTACTTTTGTATTGTATTAATTTTTTAACGCAGTTTTTATTAATTTTATACTGGATTTTTATCTAAGATTCTCTATGACAAATTCGCGGGATTAAAACAAGAAAGTAAAAATCGTAATAAAAATTGTAGTTGATGGGGAAGAAAAGTTTGGACGCAAAGGTAATAGATAACGGCGCGTGTATCCCTCTGCTCTTTGGGTTGGATCATTTTGAAATGGACTCGTGTATTGAATGGAGTCAAATGTCATTACAGTACTGGTCGAGAAGATAAGAGGAAAGACACTTTGTCCTTGTATATAATAGACCGATATCGGTTACATCAGTAACCGATATCTGTCGGTATTATATACAGTACAGAGTATTACATTGCATTGCATTGCGTCACATGTATGATAACGCAATGTTTCGCGAGCACGCATGAGATTTTTTACAAATTTTAAACACAAAGACAGATTTCTTATCGATATCTAACCAACAAGACTATGAAAGCTTATTGCTTTTAAACATTTCTTAAACATTGTCTTTAAAGAAAAAATTACTCGAAAGTTGTTTCAAAAGTGTTTCAAAATTAACAGAAAAATTGAAAACTATAGTTGAAAACGAATTATCAATTTCAAGAAATGTCGAGACAGATAGTACATAGAAGTTCACAATTTTATGAATTTGTGATTAAGTTTACTTTAAAAGCAAAAATAGTTTTTAGGATGTGTAATCATCTTAGATATAAATAAATATTTGAATTAGAGAAAATACGCGAGTACCTGAGCGATAATTCACTTGTATCAGCAGCTTCTTTCGCTTGCATGAGATAAGCAAGTGGCCAAGATATCCAAGATTTTCTAAAGAAAGAAAATTGGACATATTTATTTTTTAATTATACTTAACCAAACAATTCTAATAAATTAAAATAGGATCGATGTAATTATCTTACGTTCCGGATTGAGTATTTGATCCAATACCGCCAATCGTTGCCTGCGTGTCGAGCTTGACTCCTGTTCTGTTCGGAGTCTTCGTGAATCCTGGCTGAATCGCAGGATCAGATACCATGCGCACGAAGAATGATCTCCTTTGTTCCAAGGTAGCTTTCCTCTTCTTTTCGCGAATATCCGCAAGCTCATCCATTACATCCTAATATACACATATAAATATAGAATATATGCAAAATTTTCTTTTCATTACGTGTAAGATATTTACGTTCCAACTTACATTGAACTCCAATAATTCAGTTAGATAATCCGTTATAATGCTCCACGCCGTGTCTTAAACATTACAAAATTAATTCAAGGCGATACGCACACATCTCTTCAAAATAACAATATTAGAAAATTTAAAATATTTATGAAAGTATATAAAAATGCATTCATATTACATTTATTATATTTAATGATATAATTATAAATAGAATTGATGAACGCTAAATTCTTATAGAACTCTGGATGATTCTTAGAAAAATCTCTGGTGTATTGAAAAATGTAAAAGTTAAATATTATCCTAAGCAGAAATTTAGAAATGTGATTTTTTTTATAATATTAAAAATAACTATAAAAATAATTTACCAACATCTCTGGCAGTAGCATTAGGTGCAGCGAGCGCAAAACGTATTGTATAACGTTGATTTACTCGCGCCGGGATCATATGTATTTTTCCTGAGTCATTAATAGTACTCAATAATTTCTGATTCAATTTATCGCTGCCTTTGGCGCGAAAGCACACCAAACCCAGCTGTAACGAATAGCGCAATTAACAAATGATGACACGAACAATATAAGCAAATACAGAATACGATTAGAGAAATTCTCTTACCACAACGTCATTGCAAACTTCGAATCTGGAATCTTTCCTAACGAGTGCTTCGAATCTTTTAGCGAGTCTGACGTGATTTCGGATATAGGCCTGTAGCCCAGATATACCATAACTTCTCATTACGAACCATAACTTTAATGAACGGAATCGCCTGCTCAACGCTATACTCCAGTGTCTGTAAGAGATATTTACAATATTATTAAAATATGTTAGCGATCTGGTATTTTTCTTATAGAACACTTTTTTCATGAATTAATATAAACAAATATATTAATATAAATAAAGTTATATAATAGATACAATATAGATGTTGGAGATTAGATTAAACACTGTAAAATAACAATTATTACAAAGTAACAAATACAGTTTTACTATAAACTTATGAATATGATTTGAAAGTAAAATTTTGAAATTTTGAAATACTTCTGCTAAATGGATAAAAGACTAATATAACCGGTAATCTATAGCTGTATCCGCATGTGTGTGCTGTAGATACAAGGGATCCACAACGAGTGCACTGGTAAGTTTAAATCTGTCGCGAACCCAAAGGCAGGAGCAATCGAAGTTTGTCAATAAGAATTTATTGGTGTTGGTGTTGAAGGAATCGGCGTATTCGACGCCGGCCATCAAATATTTCAATTCTGGACAGATGAAAGCATTTCCAGCATAAGCAGCATCTACGTGAAGCCAGACCTGCGTGATACAGATTTTGATAAAAAAAATTATGTTTATATATACGCTTAAGATGACCCAAATCTTTTTTACTCATACATAACTTCATACTTACCCCTGGATATTTTTTACAAACCGGGCCTATTTCTTTAAGATTATCGAATGAACAGCAGGCGGTAGTGCCAAGAGTCGTTGACACGAAAAAGGGAACATAGCCCTCAGCTGTGTCACTCTCGATCGCCTATCAAGTAATCCAAGCCGACGTTATAACAAAATGAATAAAAAATGAAGATATTTATAGTATTATTTTATAATTTTATCACAATTAAATACGATATATATTAATTATTTCAAAATTATGAATAACAATTTTATTGACATTATTAGCTTTTGATATAAAAGATGCGATATAAATTATATTAATTTTAATTAATTCATGTTTATAAATATAGATTTTTGGGACATTCGTCGAATTTATAATATAATATAATAATATATATAATAATAATAATAATATTTAAGTGCACCTGTCGCAAGGTCTCTCCGCGAAGTACGCTCTTCTCATCGGGTTCCAGAATACGCAGCTTCACGAAGCATATCATTGCATCCTTCTCGACAGAACTATGACTTTCCCGGCTGCAATATGCCATCAGCTTGCCGAGCAGCGCGGTCTCGTCCAAGTGTGCATGTGCAGGAGATTCCTTGAGTCTCGCAATTGCTTGTGCCCGAGCGGCCAGCATGCACACGAGAATGCATTCCGATGCTGAACCCTACGTACAGGGTGATCCACACAAAGTATTATAAGCTGTTCTCTTAGGAACTATTAAACCGACAAAAATCTTCCTTGGTATTTTAAAATTCTTTGTGATTCTTTGATGAAACAAGAGTACCGCTGTCAAAACTTCCAGAGTGACAAAAGACATCTTATGTTCTTAAATAAAATTGCGTATTTTTCTTTTGCATAGGTCGATTTTCTGCCTTTACATCATTTTACGTCTAAACGCATTCAAATAAGATCATCGAAAAGTGAATGTTTTATTCTTATACGTTTTTGATAAAAAAATATGAAATATTCACTCCAACTTTATCATAACTCTTTTATGTGTAATACAATGAGAAACATCGATGCCGGATACGTTTTAAAAAGAGTATATGAAGTGTTAACTTCTTTTCAAACATTCTTTCATCTATTCAATTTCTTCAATTATATTGAAACTTTTACAATTGAAATATAAATGGATGTGGAAGTAGAGACAATGCTTTATAATATTCTTACTATGTTACTATTTTAAATATTACGTATAATCATTCACACCTGTATAACGCCTCCGCCTTTACTGCCCTCGCTAAAGTATAAGAAATCAGTTGGCAATCCAATCGCCTTGCCTATAATTCAGAAAGATGATGCATTACTCCGTAAATCAATCGTTCGTAAAGTCACCGAATCGTTTTGACGAAATATAATGGAAGAGAATTACCGAACCAATCGCAGACTATCGTTTCCAATTCTGTGCAGGCGGGGCTGGCCGCCTACAACAAATAAAATTCCATTTTGAAAACGATCGAGTAAATAATTGCACCCGATCCATCAAACGGATTTGATGCGGGATCAAATTACAATCACTTCTGATGTCGATGAGAAAATTGAAATGATTTCGCGACGTCACTCTATTATCACGTTGAATTATGGTGATTTGTTTAATTATAATTTTATACAGTATTTACTTGCGTAGCTTCTTAGACTGCTTAAGAAGATTTCTCACTCACCCAAGAAAATCCAATGCAGCCGATCGCGTCAGATAGCATATCACCAAGAATAGAGGGAAAAGAATTTCCGGCCGGGAAATAGGCGTGAAACCTTGGATGCTGCCAATGCGTGATCTGAAAGAAAAATCATTCGAGAAACTTGAAGAAACTGCACTTACAATACAATTCTTCAATACAATTCTTTTCATGCTATTTTGAAGTATTTTTTAACATGACAAATTACATTTGTGATTCATTAATAATAATTCTATTCGTTTAACAAAATTTAACAAAATCAAATAGATTTAATAAAGATTAATATAAAGAAAAAATCATTCGAATTGTTTTGTAAATGATTGTAATTGAAACTGTGAGTGTCACGATAATTTATCAAATATTCCTGATGTAATATAGTCTCGTCAATTCCTTCCCGAATTTTGCGAATACTCACGCCCGGCATGATCTTGGATTCCACGTCTTTCATGATTTCATCCCAAGATTCCGGATCATTCGGTGGTGCCGACGGCAGCAAAGATTTGAGATAGCCAGGACCAATATCCGGTGTGACTCTCCTGGTATGAATGTTGCTCATGAATTCGCAGATGTAGTCCACCATCTCTTTGCCGCGAATGCGAAACTCTTCGATGTTCATGGCGGCTTATAAGTTTAATTCGACGACGTTTGCTTCAGATTGAAAACATTAAAATTTGTGCTACTCAAATGCTACTACAAATATAAAATATATCGTATATTTTTTGAAATATTTTTTTAAGTACTTTTTTAAGTACTCTTATGTATCTTTTTTGCATATATATTAATTTTTTAATATTTAATCTATGTATATCTTTATATCTTAATATCTTTTTTATTGACTTGTTTGCTTTAATGACAAATGATTTGTTTATCTTTCATTGTTATTTTACATTGTTATTTATTAAATCTGAATTAATTTATAACAAAAACTAAAAGTCATCCAAAATCGAGGAAGATTGGAATTAAGAATAAATAATGATTACCAGATTCTATACATTTTTATTATTTATCAAATAATACTTCTTTAACTTTTGCCATACATTATATTTCTCATATATATCTTATATATTTTTAAATCTATTATTATTTCATTATTAAGTGATTGATTCGTTTCTAACAATAATAATATTTAATAAGTTAATATCGCGGATAAAAGATAACGCATTCTACCTGTTCTGTTATCAATTACGATTTTAATATTTATTTTTAAAATTTTAATATTTGTTCCCAAACTTATTGTTATTATGTATGCATAAATGTATTTCATAATCTCATCTTATTTTATGCTTTCATTTCATGCTTTTTTTGAATGTTTTTCGGTTGATATATATAAACGTTTTATTACTAATACTTTCTTACAAATAAACATTTATGAATCAATTAATTACATTAATTACATTAATTATAATTTTCAGCACTCTTCATTTGCACCATATACTTTTACACAAATCTTAATCTTTAAAATAGAACCAATATTTTTCATTGCAAAATGGAATTTTGCAATGAATTGAATTTTAAAATACTAAATTTTGTTCGAATACTAACGCAGATTAATTTTAATCTCGATTCAACTTACTCTTCATCTCTTTCTAATTCTAAGAATTAGAAAGAGATGAAGAGCAAGTTAAACCGAGATTAAAGTAAATCTATGTTAGTGGAATTGGGCATGAATCTTATTCGATCAGTTAAGTGATGCTACGCGAGAAGTAAATTACACCCCCCGAGATTTATCGTTACACATATCATCATGATAACAATAATGGATTTAATAATCTTCAACTGAAACAATTTTGATCGATAGCTTCGCACGACTTATTTAAGACGAATCGGTTCCGCGACTATCACTTTTGCGCGTCACTCGTAATTTCAATTTCGCAAAATTCGCGGTTGCCTCGTGCGGACGCCTTTTGCATTCTCCTACCTGTTGCTGGCAACAGTGACGTGATGATACGGCGTAACAGAAAGTCGGGATGACCCACCCACCGACTCGAGCTTATGTCGGATCGGATGACGATCTGAACTGAACTGAACTGAACAATCCGGGGTAGTTTGCCATCCACCGCGGATATATGTCGGGGGGCTTTCAGGGCGCAAAATTCCATCGGTGAGTCCTGCGCAAACGCATCCTTCTTCGGCAAAACTTCTTCGCCAATTCGCGAAAAGACGCGCGTCGCATCCTGGCTACCCGCACACTCACCCCAATACAATCGCGCACGTGCTTGTATACGTGTGTCCTGAGTTCGGTCAAAGAGTCATGAGATCAAGTTATCCCTCCAAAGGACTTTTTATACGAATTGACTTGCAAATTAAAGCCACGTGCAAACAAAGAAAAGAAAACATTGTGTCCTTTGATGTTGTATGAAACATCTTGTAATGATTATTTCAGTAAAGAAAGCAAATGACAAGAAGTGATTAATTACTTTTCAATTTCTTATCCTGATTAGATTTTTCTGATGTTTGCTGGAGTAATTTATTTTGTATATCGATTATGCAAAGTAATTTAAACTCTAGCTTAAGCTTTCCCTTGATATTATAAGGAAAAGAACAAATTTATTCGATTAAAATTTATTTAGGATATTTATTTTCATAAATTTTACAAATGAGCATGAAACGTCTACCGTATAAAAAAAATACCATAAAAATGATAAAATAGTAGATATTTATTACACTCTTAATAACAACAGATGGAAATATTAATTATCCATTATTATCATGTTCTTTCTAAATCAATGTGATTTTTTTGTAATTCTTAAATATTCATGTGAAAATATTATTTTGTGCAAGAAAATAATATATTTTATTAATTAGAATGTTTTTTTATAAAGATATAGGTATAAGATATTGCATTGAGATATTTTTTGTCACCAACATCAACATTTGTCGTTATATAACGGCTACGAAAAAAATGAAAGTGTTCCGAAATAGGTTCGCTTATCTTATTATTTTCATTTCCTCTCATGATTTATATTTTTAAAAGTTTTTATCATTAATTTAAAATTCCTTGATATTTAACCCGAGAGTAATACCTGGAGTAATACTCTATTTTTTAAATGATTATCTGAGATATTTTTATATCTGAAATAAAAATTACTATTATTATTATTATTATAACGTAATTGATTGTTTTCCGATTTATTAGTATTGAAGGACATTAATATAGATTTATCCTATTATTTTCTACAAAAGGAAATAGAAAACAGAAAAATATTAAACAAATTGAAACAGATTGACATAAATTTTATTTTCTCGAATTAAAAAATTTATCAGAAAAATAGTTCGCCGAGAATGAGATAAAAATCCAGAAGATTAGTAGAAAGATCAAGAAAACTTTTAACAAAACGAAATATCTCATATTGTATCATAAATTTTTAAATATTTTTGCAATTATTTAAATAAGACTTTTTTTTATCTTTATCGGAATTTTTTTTTAAATCAGCTAGATGTATTCAATTATTCGATACATTGAATAGTTCTTTGAACAGAATTTTTTGACAATCTAAAGTCGCTTTCTCCTTAACAAAACATCGAGGAAACTCATCATTTATTTTCCCTCTGGCGACTCTTGTTAATCTTTAATATCATATCTCTTTATTTAAATTTTAGATTAAAATTCATTTAACATAAAATAAAATATATTTTGTTGTCCATTTGCCTCTTAAAATAGCTTGAAAACGACCATTATAATCTTTGCTCGTTAATTACTCAGAAACTGCTTTGACATTCTCATTGGGAAAAGTCGATTCACTTCAAATCGACCGAGGGATTCGCGGTTAAAAGGACATCTGACGAATCAGACACCCTGTACAGATGCCTCGTTCACTCGAGTAAATTGGATGCTAGCGTCTCGCGGTTTATTACAATGGAAAAGGAGGGGATACGTAGGCATCATTAAGAGGGTGCCAGCCGCAGAAGGCGTCCGTTGATTCTCGCCGAGAGGAAACGCACGGGGATGCTGAGAACGGAAATACACGAGATGGAAATCCTTGACCTCTCCTTCCTCCTCCGCATTAAAGAATCGACAGCCTCGAGATATCGCGGAACGCGTTACCTTTCGATCGCGAGGGGGAGGCAATGAGAATCATCATCGTGGTAAGATCCCTCATGTTCCCTGCTGAAATTCACTGCTGAAATTAGCTGCTGCGGCGATGACGACATTCGCCGAGTTCAATTTGCGTGGTAATTATAGCTCGAGGAAAGTCAGGCGGCTCGAACGTTAATCTAATGCATTACAGAATATTTGTCGATTACGACGGAATGATCCGTAATGTGGCACGATATTGATAGCACCGGAATTAATATAAATGCCGTAATTTAATGTCGATAATTACGATCACATCCGCAGTAACGCAGTAATTGAATTCACAACGCAGTAATTAAATTTTTTACGTAAAAGGAGCGTATTTTTCTCTTTTCTTTCTTCCCTTTTCTGAAGATTATATCTGACTAATATCAAAGAATTTCGCGATGAAATTTAGTGAAACTTTGAAGGAAGATTCAGTGTGTTTTAAATTAATATATATATATTTCGGTTCTTACGGAAAGAAATTTTAGAATATAAAATTTTATTTTTTTACCAATTTGACAAATTCTACGAAATCATATCTTTTTTTTATAACGATTATAATTTTTTTTAGAACGATTAACTGCATTCAACAGGTACATCCTGACTTATATACCTATTTAGATTATTAATTAGCTCGAATTCTAGTTAATTAAATTTTCTTTGTTCCGCGTTAATATCACGTGGCATTTTAACTGAAAGGGACAATCATTAATTTTCGAAATTAATTAACTCGAACTGTCATCGCGACTCACTCCAAGGAATGAACATACCCCTTACACGATTACAAATACAAAAGTAATCTTAAAAATAAGCTTAACACATGTCATATTTTAATTAATCAATTAATGATTTAAAAGACGAGTATATTTTTATTCATTATTTTATACTATTATTTTATATTATTATTATTATTAATACTTTCAAGATCAATGAGTAATTGCGACGCCGCGAAGGATCGCGCGTGTCCCGACGTATAATTTCAACAAAACAAAAGGCATACGTGACGCGTCATAGAGGACAACTTCCTCTCGGTATGACGGGGGGTGCAACGAACCCCGGGCTGGTGATCGCGGACCAACGGCAGATAGTCGGTCCTTCTGCTCACGCGTTTTAGGGATAAAAACGTTCATAATGCTGGAATGCGGGAGCGAGGGGGATACCCCCGGTCGACGGGGGTGCTTAATAATGCAATATGGCGTCGGGGCGTCGCGACGCTATGCGCGCTATGCCGCGCATACCGCTACCATATACGCCTACACTTCGAACCCTCTTGCGCCCCCGCATTGTCCCCTCCGTATCTTAGCTTCTGCCCCGTGGTTTCCTTCGCGAGAACGAGGCCGCTCCTTCGCCTAGGATCGGTGTATATCGCCGGTAATCGAATGTTGATTAGAAAATATTGATGGGACTTTCCATCCAGTATCTGCAGCCAGCGATCTCTTCCATCTTTCTCTCTTTCTTCATCTTCGACGTTGGCGAAGAGCTTTTTCCATTGCTTTTTTCCATTTACGCTTCGGAATTCCAATGAATTATATATTTAATATATATATATATATAT